GACAAAAGCGACGGATTGTCTACGATTGAATGATTGCAACATTTTAGTGATTGTAAAGCTTATTGTTATACAATGCGATTTCGTGGATTAAAACATGTTTATGATTTCTATTGTGATACATAAATTTACAGTTTAGGTATAATATTGTTTCATTTTTTTATAAATATTGGACATGTTCTATTATTATTTGTTAGTTTCATCAAATTCCAAAAATACTTAACCTAAAGTTGTTTTTAGTCATAAATTCCAAGACGTCCCAAAGTTTGGAAAGTGAGCATGATTAGAAAAGACATTTTGTGTCGTGTGAAAAACTTGATCTTTCTCCACGATTAGTTAATAATTGGTGTAAATACCTGCATCCATTCGATCAAATTTGTTGCTAAATGCAACCTGTTTCGATTCACATAGGAGCTATCGTTGGGTCAGTACACATGTCTTCTCGCTTCATTCGAAGGCTGTCAATTGGTAATAAATAAATAAATACACACATATATGATTGGCTTTATAATAAAAACTAAATTTACAACAAAAATGGTGAAGTAAAATACTTTTCTTTTATATTTAAATGGAGTTTAAAATTTCTCGGCAACCATTACTGTGTCTGAAAATTCTGTAGCCTAACTTTTAAGATTTAATTTGAAAAAATAAACTTATTTCTAAGTTAGACTTACTTACTTTCAAACCCCTACCATTTAATGTCAATAGATCCAAAAGAACTTAAAAACATTGCCTCAGTATATCATTAACATCAACATCAATTATTTTATATTTATGCTTCAGGAAAAATATGTTTTACCATAATTCTTCAATTTTAGTCAAGCCTTTTTACATGTAGGCCTAGCTTAGTATTAAAATTGTAAGGAAAGCACTAGCAATATTCTACAAAAATTTTACTAACCTTCCTTAAACAGGCAACACCTTCTTACTAAATAGTAACAAACACATTTCCTAAATTTAATAAAATAAAGCATCACAAACATTTTTTTTTCAAGTAAATAAACAAACACCAGTTAGGTGATAGTTTTTTGTGACCTCCTCTTATAGATCCTAATGTCCTGTACTAATGTGGACAACTATTCCATGCTATATAACCTAAAACAATAAAAATCCAACATCTTGAATTTGTATTTAAATTCCAATACGAGTGTAAAAGTTTAAATATTGAATATCGTTGGATCATTGAAGTTGTCAACTTCAAATATGAAACTAGCAGAGTTGGTTGTATTAAAGGTTGGTAATGAATATAATTTTCATGGTTTTTTTAACTGTTTGAAAAAAGAAAATACTTATCAACATTACCAAACAAGTTGGCGTTCAAAAGTAAATTATTAGAAATTAAATGCGAAGGTTTTTCTTCATAAAAGTGAAAATAAACCCTTGGGTGTTAACACATACAGTAAAGTAATGTATAATCTTTAGCAACGCAAATTAAATTACATGTCTTTGTTTCACGTCACAATTTCATTTCATTAGTTATACTTGGACACAAAAAGGAATGTCTCTTGTAAATGAAACTATTGAATTTCACTCTTGGGAATTATGTTACACAAGGGAGTATGTAATATAGGAGTAGGTAATTATAACTTCCTTCTCCTATTATGTGCAAATCCAAATACAGTTTTGGAGTGCATAATGTGGAATTATTTTCCCACCAACTCGTTTGAAACTGTCCAAAGTACATTTCAATGATTTAAGATACTTTTCATTGCTAAAAAAAACTGTACGAGCGTTCTTATTTTATACTTTAAACAGTTGATTTGTTCAAACGTTTTAAATAAACTGATTTCAAATACTCAATTCGAAATTTCTAAGATAAACTCTAGATACGTTCAGTGATAATAGTAGCTGATTTCGTTTATTTCTTTTCAGATTTCATATTAGTATTTTTTCTAAACTCTTACCTTCGCACAAGAAACGGTGTGAGCATAGCGAGGACGATATAAAGTTTTACCTAACCCGCCATGTTAAACTTCCCTATCCCAAGCGTGATGTATACAACTTCTTTACTTCACGTGTGAAGTAAAGTTTAAAAAACTCACTGGGTGAGGTCATGAAACCCATTTAAATAACATTGAGTGCACAACTTAAAAAATATACCTCTATGGAGCCAACTACGTTCAACGCTAGAAATCAGCTGTGCGATTGAATTTTATTGTTATGCTTTATGAATTTTTCTAACCTAGCTTTTGTTTGTAAAATAACGTTACTGTTAGAAGATGAGTGAAATTGATAATGAAAAATATTGTACGTAGCCCCCTGTATATTGTTGGGTTAGGTAATAGCTATTTACCTTACAAGTGTAGTAAGAGCGTTTTTACATCACGCAGGTGAATGTTGTGCAACGAGCGGAAGCGAGTTGCATAATTTACCGAAGTGATGTAAACACGCTCTTGCGTAACGTGTAACGTACAAGATTTTACCTGACCCGACAATATACAGGAGGTTACGAACAATATTTTTCATTATCCATTTCTCTCATCTTCTAACAGTAACGTTCATTTACAAACAAAAGCTAGGTTAGGAAAATTCTTCAAAACATAACAATAAAATTCAAGCACACAGCTGATTTCTAGCGTTGAACGTCGTTGGGTCCATAGAGATATATTTTTTAAGTTAAGCACTCAATGTTATTTAAAATGGGTTTCATTACACCACCGAGTGAGTTTTTTCAACTTTACATCACTCGAGAAGTAACGAAGTTATATACATCACGCTTGGGATAGGGAAGTTTAACATGGCGGGTTAGGTAAAATCTTGTACGTTACACGTTACGCAAGGGCGTGTTTACATCTAGGTGAATTATGCAACTCGCTTCCGCTCTTTGCACAACATTCACCTGCGTGACGTAAAAACGCTCTTACTACACGTGTGATGTAAATAGCTATTACATGATTTTCAACCAGTTGAGTATCAATAACTGTTAGTTTCTTTTCAGGCCTAATATGTTTCACAAGATAAAGAGCAATTGATTAAAATCTGTAGATTAATCGTGTATTTCTTGGAAATATTGGCATGAGTGATTTAACTTATAAAGGGTAACCTTTAATTTATAAAGAAGTGTTTTTTAAACTTAATCTAAAAAGATTTGAATCATATTTTCTAGGAAAAGCCTTTGATTGATAGCATTAATGTACAGTTTTTGTACAATTTATTAAGCTATCATCAATCTTTGTTTCCATCTATAAACCTTACAAAATGTTTTCAATATTTTATAGCTAACTGACAAAGGGTTTTAATAGCCCATCTATGTTTTTTATCTTTTAAGTTAACTATCTTTGCCCTTTCCCCTTTTGATTTTTTCTTTCTGTTCGGTTCTTTTTCCTTTTGTTTGTTAATATTTTCCTAATACTGTACATTGACTCAAGTATATAATTATTATTGTGGAAAGTCTCTGCATTTAAATTCCAATCGTTGGTATTCCATTACCAAAGAGAACGAAAATATATTCATAGTCCTCATGAGGTAATGTCTACAATGCCTATTTTCGGGTTAAACTCTGCTAGCTGCCCACAATTCTATTAAATCAAATCAGAGTATGTTAACATGCTTATTTTCTTTTTGTCATCCCCAAAATTTTTTGTTCGTTGTATAAAGTAAGCTAAGTAAGTATAAAGAATATTTCCATAACTTTACGTAACCTGGCCCAAAATGCGCTGAAAAGAGTTTTTAAGAAACCTAAACAATTTTGAACCTTTGTCGGAAATTTTTGTTTAACAATAAAATTAGATATTGTCTATTTTAAATCATAAATCATCACCAAATAAGAGATATGTAAACATTTCAAAACTTTAAAGGGGAAGCACAACTGTGAACAATCTAAGCTTCATCGAAAAAGCTTAAATATTTTCAGTAATACATATGCTTAAAGAATTTGAATATTTACAAATTGAGGTGGATTCGATATGGTAAGCCCGCAATTTCGAATGAATAACCTTATCCTGAAAACCCCAAACAAACATCTGATAACAGTACGTTTGTTTCGCATTTTGTATTCAAAAGGCGCGGGTGATTTATTTTATCTTCGTTCCGCTCGAGACGTTTCGCTAAACCAATTCCACGAGAGAATTAACCGTAAAACTGCAGCTAGTGTTTCCCGCGTTTGTACATACAGCTGTTAAAGATTTTTTAACTTTGAAATCAAGGGTAATGTGTTGTTATGATTAAATTGTACTAATTTTATTTCATTAATGTATGGTTTTCAACAAATAAAACTACTTTCTGTATAAAATCGTTCTTCCTCAACGATCCCACAAATAATTGGATATTTTTGCACACCAAAGTAAAGCAAATTTTCTCTTAAGTTAAATATTCGTCTGCTTGCTGTATGACTAGGTAAAGACAGGTAGTTATGCAAAATAGGTAGTGGCCATTTAACCTTAGGAGTCTTAGCAGCCAAAAACCTGCTAAGGCTCCTTTCTGACGCTGCTGAGCTCCTAGAAGCTAGGAGCTTCATTCATTCAAGTTTCTTGTTTTACTAAACTTACAATATTTGCTATACCGTGGTCTTGTATAAACTCCTTGTTCCATCTTTCTTGTTTCTATCATGTTTTTTACTTTCAATTTCATATATTCCAGATGAACATAGCCATTAATCTCTTACTCACTTTTGGAAAAGCCTTTTTCCATCATTCCTTCTCACCTCCCATAGTTTACGTCCCAGATCGACACGGCCTTCCACGGACTCCATGTTTCATCTTCATGGCTTCTTTCTCGCCTTTTGTTTGATATGTTTCAACACAGTAGTAAATATCCTAGTCCATCATGGCATAGTGCACTAACTATCTTATTTGGCATAACGTTCTCTCCAGATCCATATCAACACCGCCACGAATATTTCACTCCTCCAAAGACTAGTGGACTCGTTATTCCATTTTTCTCATCCCATCCTTAATTCTCATTTCTAACATGAACGCAGGAACAAATCCTTTATCCTACCATGGACTATACTGCATGTTCTACCTGCCATGCTTCTTTCTCACATTCCATTTCCTATGTTCCAGATCAACACGGCCAACAACTTACTGCTGCTCCACCTAGGTTTGGTGGACTCTTTGCTCTGCTCCATGTTCCTTGTATTCTCTGCGCCAACGCTGCTGCGGGGATGGACGATGCCCTGCACGGTCCATGGTTTTCTCTTCACGCTGCTTCATCCTGTAGCCCTGTGGACGGTGTGCGGTCTCAATTGTGACAGATATTACGCCATCTCCGCACCACTTCACTACGGTGCCCTCGTCAGTCCGAAGAAGGTATTTACCGGATATTTTCTTATCTAGAGAAATTGAAGGAAACGAGTCTTTGAAAAGGAAAATCACTAGTGCTGTATGTTACTATCTAAGGTGATACAGATTTTACAAGTTAAAATAAACTTGATGCACCCTCGTAAAAAATATATATTTTTAAAATGTGTCCCAACAAAATTTTTTTTAAGTTACAAGAATACTCCTTAATAAAAGAAAAGGCATTCGTTCTTCACCCCTTCTTTTAAGGTCGGTACTTGAAAGATTCATCCCCACACAAGAAGAATCTTTCTTTGTAGAAAACTTGGGGATATTTTTTGGCAGAACATTTGCACTGCTCAAACTTCAAACCTGAAGCCAGAAATGCACAAGACTTATAAGATCCAAACAGGGGATGCGGAATACTATCCCCCCCCCCCTAGGTGTAACGTGACGTCACAAAATCTGTCAACTAACCAATATGGAAGCCGTGTCCGCGACTGGAATACTACCCCCCCCCCCTAGACAAATCATGCTATGTAATTTTAATTGTTTTGAATCTTGAAATAATTACCAGAGAAATTATAAAATAATTATTTCACAAACAGATTAGTAGGCTTCTTTATTTATTCCAAAGTCTTAACTGAATCTTCAAACAATTAAATTAATTAAATACAAAATATTTAACATGTGTTAAACCAAAACACAGTATTTTAGAAAAAATATAACAGTCAGATCAAAAGGAAAATCAATGAAGTGGAAACATATTCAATAAAGTTCACAACATCCTCCCCCCATTTAAAATTGCTAACCAAACATGTGCAATTTTAAATCAGTAAAATCGCTCGGGCACTTTTACTTCTCTTCCACATCTGGTTTTCTTCTTAGTGAAATCAAAGCCTTCGTTTTGAACTATAACTTCTTCTTCTTCAAGTGGTTTATTTTCTTTCAAACACTCTTTTTCACAAGCTGTGATTTCTAATGGAAAAAGTCTTTGTAGTGGTCTTGTCAAAATACCATTTCCAGTTTTTAGTCTTGCGACTCTGGAGAATCCATCTCTTCCTGGATATACATCTTGTACCAACCCCAAAGGCCATCTTATTCGTTTTGTGTTATCATCTCCTATCAATACAACTTCTCCAATAATGGGTTCTCTACTTTTCTTGTTTTTTCCATTGTGAACGAGTGTAGCCAAATATTCTTTCTTAAACCTGTCTCTTAGTGATCTTCTTAATTTGTTTATATAACGCACTCTTTTATTCAAACTTAGACACTCAATTTCATCCAAATCTGGTAATTCAGCTGTTGATGTTAGTTGTAAGAATAAGGCTGGAGTTAATGGTTGTAAACAGTCATCATCATTCGAAAGATAAGTCAAAGGTCTTGAATTTACAGTTGCTTCACAATCACACAAAATTGTTGAGAGTTCTTCCTGCGTGACTAAAGAATTTCCCAAGTTTCGTCGTAAAATTTCCTTTATCACTCCAATAAGTCGCTTCTCGACTGTAACTTTGTTGTCCATAAGCTCTGGATGGCCTTCAATCCATGTCCATGTCCAAGTCACCTCGTGCCTATTTTCACTATTTACTACAATAGTTTTGTTAAAATGCTCCAAGACATCTGATGCATTCGCCTCCTTAGTTTTACTACCTGATGGACCAGTGATGCCCAGAACATCTAAACGCCATAGATCTGAAATGTCCATTTTAGCAAAGCAACTAATGCTAATAAGTGAATGGTAACTTTTTCCACATTGTCCCATTACTGTCCATCCTAACACAGTCTTAACAGCAACCAGAGTTTGATCTAGCTGTTCAATTTTACCTGTGAGAAGTTGGCCCAAGATATCAGCTCCTAGTAGTAACTGTATTTCTTCTGCTGCATCTTGTCCAATATCTGAAAGGTATATATTCTTCTTCTTTAAAATAGGAAAATACCTTTTTGTATCTAATCTGGGTATGTAATTGCAAATCTTGTCTTGATCAAGCACATTAACTGAAATGCCAAATTTACCCTTTGTATCACGTAACTCTACTTGGTAAAGATTATGCGGAGTCTCTTTAGTTTTAATACCTCCAAACAAACCATGAACTATTGATTCCTCACCAGATTCTATTAATTTAAGTTTCTCTACACAGTCCTTAGAGATATAAGACCTTTGAGATCCAGAATCCAACAATGCTCTTACTAGTAAAGATTGCTGGTCAGGTCCTATTACTTTTACCAGAAGAGTTTGTAATAAGGTTTCCTTATTTTGATTTGCAATCAAGGACTCAGATTTGTCATTAATTTGCACACTTTCAATGACATTTGATTTGTTATAATCATGAGTATTACTGTGCACCATTTTCTCTAAACTAGGACACATTAAGCAGTAGTGTTTCCTTTTACAGATAGCACAGGATACAAACACTTTACACTTGTTACTGCTGTGACCTAACTTTAAACATGAGAAACAAGCTCCCTTTTTTGTTACAAACTCTCTCTTTTCTTTCAAAGTGAGCTTTTGTAACCCCGAACAGTCTTGAGTGTTGTGATTTCCTTTATTACAAAATAAGCATGTAGGCTTACTCACCACTGAAGAGCTATCTGTAGCAACTATTGTAGATGCTGTAGGTAAAGGTAGTCCTTTTTCAAACTTAATTTTCATACCAGGACGTTGGTGACGGTAAGATCTCTTCTGTGGCTGGGTGTCACTTGGTGTAGTGTCTCTGTCCACTGCAAAACTGTTCCGAGCAAGAGCTAAACGTTCTTCGCTTTCGACCTCAGAACGTACAAAATTCAACAACAGCTGTAAATAATTTGAATTAGATGACTCGCTACCTTTAAATTCACCTAAGCCTATTTTGTTTGTTGTTCTGTACCGCTCCCATGCTCTGAGAGTATCAGTTGGTAGAGCAGATTCAACCAGAGGGTATAGCATGGCAGCATACTTATCTGATGTGACCCCGAGTGTTTCTAGGGCACGAAGTTGAGTCTCAAGTTTATCAGAAAGGGTTGAAAGTGGCATGATACTTTGTTTGTTGGCTTGTTTCAAAACTAAATTTAGCAATTCTCTTACATAAACTTCAATCAAAAGTTCATCACGTGCAAACCTGGATTTCAATTGTTCAATAGCCTTGATGTAATTTTCACCAGAAGGAGGAAAAGAATTTATTAATTCCCTAGCTGATGAACCAAGTTTCAAGGATTGAATTAAATATTGAAATTTGTCTTCAGGTTTAATTTCACTATCTTCTTGAATCTTTTTGTACTGACCCCAAAACCCTATCCAATTCCTAACATCCCCATCAAATGAAGGTAATTGCAATTTAGGCAAATGAAAGTTACGGTTTGGTCTATAAATGTTTGACTCACCATTGATGGTAGGTGTTTTAAGAAACATTTCATACTTAGCCTTCATCAGGTACCATTTCTTCTTGTATTCTTCTTGCGTGTCAGTTCATTGTCCAGATCAGCATCAGAAGCATCTTTCATCAGCATTTCATCAGAGATTTTCCCATCCATAGCCATTAACGTGGTTATTTTGTCTTCAATTTGGGAAAAGTTCACTTTTATTTTAGTTTCTTTATCATTCATTGACAGGTCTTCATTATTAAATGCTTCTTCCAGTTCATTATATACCTTGGTGAATAGCCTTCTAATCAGTGATCTTTTCTTTTTCATAATTTCTAGGCCTTCCATATTGTTATAATCTATTAAATAACCCAGATGTCTTAAATTAAAGAAAATATCCTGTCACGGTCGCCAAAATGTTTTGAATCTTGAAATAATTACCAGAGAAATGATAAAATAATTATTTCACAAACAGATTAGTAGGCTTCTTTATTTATTCCAAAGTCTTAACTGAATCTTCAAACAATTAAATTAATTAAATACAAAATATTTAACATGTGTTAACCCAAAACACAGTATTTTAGAAAAAATATAACAGTCAGATCAAAAGGAAAATCAATGAAGTGGAAACATATTCAATAAAGTTCACAACATTAATTTTAATTCGAGTAATTCCGTTGGATTTACAGAATAAAATTCCGTTTGGATTTACGTTGGAAAAGGCATGTGGTGAATATAAAACAGATTTTCGAAATATTACAGCAAGTTTGGTTGGTTAGGTTAGGTTAGATTAGAACTGTTTGACAACTAAATTTCAGTGTCCGTGACTGGAAAACTGCCCCCCCCGGTCTCTGACGTCAATATGACGTAGAAACCTGCTTGGGGGGGTAGTTTTCACGGGGGCAGTCTTCCGGCGACCCTCCAAACAAACCCAACATTTCAAACATTCCTACTAGACCCAAACATATTCTTATACATCTGTCCCCCAGGTGACCATCGGTCTTGCTGCTACATGGGTGTTGGCTCTGCTACTCTGTATCCCTCCTCTGTTCCGTGTGGCCCCCTACAGCTACAACACCGCCTTGGCTGTCTGCGCGCCAGACTTCACCGCGGGGGACGCCGCCTTGTGGTACTCCGCTGTCTACACCACGCTCACACTGGTGCTGCCGGCAGCTCTCATACTAGGCTGCAACCTCAAGGTATGTTGGCTCTATCGTTGACTTTGGACAAATTATTGTGAAATGTAGCGGCTTTCATAACACATTCTGTCAAAGTTTTTAGAATTTAGGAGAAAATATTATGTGTATACTCTGTGAGAGGCTAATAAATTTATCTATTTTTTATTTAAACAAAAATTTGACAACAGCTGATCCATATAGATGACAAGTCGATTATCTGCTTCATGATCCAAAAGTATAGGTGGATAGGTGTTTCTCCTAATGAAAAATAACGAGATGCTTTGTTAAATGTCTTTAAATGATTAACCCCTTAACATAGTTGGTGCCTAAATTTGCCCTTTGATCAGCATATACATTATATCAACCTTTTCCCCATTACCTATCAGTTAAGAAAACACAACAAGTGCATAGCCTAATTAGCAAGAAATAGCCTATTAGTGGGGATGACACATAATATTCAAAGCTATCAAACAAAAATTAACGCTAAGGTACATGCAGGAGAATCGTTTAATTTTGTTAACCACTGCATATAAGTCTAAACGTAAATATTTCAACGCTTAATAGATTACTTTTTGCTTGCAGGTGCTGATGATTGCCCGTTACCACCGCCATCGCATTGCCAGCGCCATATTTGAGGTGACTCTATCGGCCCAAGTGACCATCACCCACCAGCGCAACCCCTTCTTCCTCCCAGGGGGGTTGACAAGCAAATTCCGTGGCCGCAGCGCAGTCTCCACCGTGCTGCAACTGCTGGGGTCGTTCTTCGTACTCTACTTCCCCTACTACGGAGTCATAGTTTGGGAGTCGTCTGCAAGCACCTTTCTTGCAGGAAAGGACATCTACTACAGATTGCATCCTCACATTATTACTTTGGCTTCTACGCTGCTGACTTGCTCACCTCCTGTGAACGGCCTGTTGTATGGGATTAAAAGTAAAATTTTGAGAAAGACTTTCCAGAACTACTGGAGAAAACAGATGTCCAAAGTTGAAATCAATCATGAAATTCAAGCTAGAACACCTTCAGCATGTGGATCTAGAAGACCCTCACTTACACCTTTGGGGATTCTGACTAGACCAAGTGCCACGCATCTTCAAAGAAGACTTTCCGAAGCGTTCATAGATCCTAGTAGGTCGTCGCTGTCGTCTCCGAAATCAAAGATGACGAGAATATCGTCAGAGATATCATGGAGACCGGTGTCAACATCGGGGCTGGGGCTTGCATTTGTCGGCTCTGATGTTGAAAGTGATAACAATAAGAAGTCTCAGATCCGAGCACAGCACGCGGCGAGCTTCAGCACTCTTCAAGTTCCTTCTGACGAGAGAGAGAGGCTGCGGAACGAAGACTTGATAAAGTCGTTTAGAATTGCAGTGGCGAGTACAAAGGAGAACGAAGAAAACAAAAGTTTGGGAGTGATTCGTCCAGTGCTGAGAACAAGTGTTAGCAACACCAGTCTCTTTGTACAACGAGTCCTCGGTGCTGGAAATATTCGGTTTAACCTCGGTGATGGCAACAGAGATGGCAACCCGAGTGCACCACAGACAAGAAGATCCCCTAGAATTCTAATCACAAGAGCATTCTCAGAGGAAAGTGAGCCTAAAACACCAAGTTCACCGAGCACGCCGAACAGAAAGTCAGAACTGAAGAAACATTCTATATCCGCAACCACTTTGATTTGCGACAGTAAGTGGAGAAAAAGCAAAAATAATGTTGCATTCCTCGACGAAATATGCAATAAAGACCTTTCTTCGCCCTGTGCAAGCAGCAACTCTTCCGTGGAGGACCAGGAAGAGGAAAAACTATTTCGACCGAACGGAATTTTATCTCCGGACGACGGGAACATAAGTGACGGTGGTGACAGCATAGTTTGGATGAAGGATACTACAAACGACACATCCAGGTTGAACTGCACAACCAGCAGTGGTGACGACAGCGACAATGCTGCCAACTATGATGATAAACATAACTACCGTGTCCTCAGGTCTTGGCCGTGTGCCAGTAACCGGAAGGTGCGCAACGTGGTAGCTTCAGGGATCATCTCTGACGAAGATTCTCCTCCTCCGTCGCGAAACAGAGTTTTAAGGACGTCTTGTAGTTTTACCACATTGCAGAACACGTCATCCGATGGGTCGTAGTGGTATAAGTGGTGGTTCAATCGTTGACTTTGGAAACTGGCAGACTTTCTTTGCATTTTTAAAACGTGTAACTGTCTTTACGCCCATTGTCAAACGAATTTTATCATATTTTTTTCTTGAATGAAGGATTATAGATGGATTTATTTATTGACTGAAGTAGGATACCAAAGAGTAAGAAAGAAATTTAAATGACATTTTTTTCTATAATACGTTAGAGGCTCAAGTTGAATAGGCCGTACACCAATATACTATTTCAATATTTTGAAAATAGCTGACCACAGCATAAGATAGCCAACTTTTTATTTCCACATAAAGTCTAATGGGTCTATTTCTGGGCCACGTTGTCAAGGCTATATTCGCTTAACAATGAGCAGGTATTTACAATTTATCAAAATTTAACCTGTTTTTAGGCTAATTGAAATGGTTAAAGTTATTTTTGATTACAACTACCAATTTTGCAGCCCATTCGGCTGACATTGGGCCTGAATACAGTAACAGACAAACTTGATGAAAGTTTGTTTTCATTATCCATAGTCAAGGGTAAAATTCAATGTTATGGGCTTTCGATGTTATCGTTGACGTTGTTGGAAATTATATGGTGATTTGTTCCTTGTTGTTTACTGATAGAACATTTGACATTTATTTTGTTGTAATTTTAGAGTGGATTTTAGTCATTGTTATTAATATGATATGTGAGTTATAACAAATGGTGGTGTATCGGAGGAACTGTAATACATTGATGGGGCACTTTATAGTGAATTGAAGTAGGCAATTGTCATTCATCTTAGATGTAATTCATATAACATTGCCGAATTAATGTTGTTGAATGAGTGGTCCTGTTTGTAATATTTCTATTTATTTTTGTAAAAAATGTAATTCACTGGTACTGGTGATATCTTTGATATGAGGGATGAGAAAGTGATTCTTTGTAGGTTTTGAATGTACTGTTTTCTTTTTTGTTTTTTGTTTTTTAGATGACAATCAATGAAACTATTCTTATAGATTTCAAGGGAACCAACAAATTTTCAACTGAATATAAAGAATTCCTGTCACGTAAACTATAACAAATACCTTAATGATAATAAATGACAAAACTGGATCAGTTCATTGGTAAAGATTTTAAAATGCTGAGAGGATTTAGAAGCTGGTAGTTAATCAACATGATTTGCGCACATTTAACAAAAAGTCCTATATTTTGTGTTGAAACACACTTAGGAAGATTTTATATTTTAAAAATAACTACTACTACATTTGAAAATGTAAAACCCTATAAGTTAACGAAACCACCAAAAATAATGCCTTTGGTGACAAACAGTATCATCAACAGTTGTAAAAATTATGAAAAAATACACCTCTTCTGTTACTGCTTAAACAAGCAAATGTGATCTTTGACTTGTTCTAAATTATTAAACTTCGTTAAGTTAAATCTATAACTTGATGACGTTTATAATAAAATTATACTAAGCATCTTCAATTTTACTAAAATTCAACACATAACTAGAGATTAGCAGGTTATGAAAATGTTCGAGGATTAACCGAACATAACTCTCATCAATAACATTCATCTAACAGACGATGGTTTATAAAGGCTTTTTAAAATTATATAAATTCAATGTTCAAACAATTGATTTATCCCTCGAGTAAGAGCTCAGAAAGATTTATTTTATCCGCTTCAGCAGTTTTTATAACGATGATTTAATCAGTTCAGCCAGATTATTCCATCGCAATCAATATCTTCTCAAGCCAATTGTTTCAATTATTGAAAAAGGAAAGTTGTGTTAAGTGGGATGTAGTATTAAGAGTGGATCCATAAAAAAGCAACACAACGCTACATTTTTTTACGGATTATTCAGTTTTTCTTATTTAAAACTGAAGTGGTTTAATGTGGGATTACGTACCAAGCAATTTACCATAAAAAACTAAGAATCATCAAGTTTTGTTTTTTATTGTGATGAATTAAATGTCTTTTGATTACTGGACTGTGAAAAATCCTAGTGAAACTTCTTAGTATTTGTTTGTTTAGTTTTTGTGTCAACCGTTGTTTGTTCTTTCATATATAGAAGTATTGCTGATAAATAGTAGGTTAAACATCTTAAGGCATAATTCCACCTTATGTAAAACGGTAGATTGTATGATGTTTCAATTTTAATTTTTTCAAGCATACATATTGCTAAAAGAATAAACTTTTTTTTTTAATCAACTTTGAAACTAGTGTATGGTTGATTACATTTATGTTAGTGGTTAAGTTTAATAGTCAATGGGTAAAACTTTCCAAATATTTACTTTAAATACAAGTCATGAGTGTAAAGTACAATTTTTTATTATTATAACCATTTAAACAAAGTTAAGTTATGATTATTTTTAAGCGTTAAAAATAACATAAACAACATAAACTAGAAATTAATATATGTACTAATGTAACGTACGTATTCAGCATTCATTACAATCTGTATAAATTAAGTAACATATAACATTTGCAGTAATTAAATAACAATTGAGCAAATGTGAAATCAAGTTTGATTTCTATGTATAATATTGTCCAAATAAAACTATCAGTTAATTTCTAGTCTAAGGTCGTTAAGATCTTCCTGACAAAAATGAAGGTTTGAAATGCCAAGCCCTTTCTTTGTCTTCTTATTTTCTCAGTGATTTCCGCAGCTGCAAATCTGTAAATCGTTGTTTCCTTACTCCCCTGAAAATTTATATTTCAAGTTTTCTCATATTTCAATATTATCATAATTTATCAAAAATATCTCAAAAATTTAATCATTTGTATCAAAGTAAAGCTTTACTGTACTTACATTTTATGAAGTCACTTTACCTTCGTGTTTACAATACTCTGTACTTCATAAACAAAGAATTAAAATTTTGTTTACAAACATCTCTTTTCCTCATCAATGGTTAACATCAATTATGAACCTGGATGTTGTGTCGTGAACATTTTTCATTTGATATATAAGTTCATTGTTAGCCTATGTTTTTTCTCTTTCTTTTTGTCTAATTTTTTTTTTTTATTTGCTAAATATCATGTTTTGCATTCTTAGAACAAGTTACAACTGTTGACCTCATTTTTCAATTTAATTTACCAATATTCAAAGTTTGTATGAAAATATATTTGTATTTTTTCTAAGTTATAGATAACACGCCAAAATCAACATAAACTGCCATCATATCCTTTTAAAAAATAGTCGTGTAAAATGGAAATATTTCTTAGCTTCTGTCTGGTACTCTAGACAGAATTATTACAGTTAACCTGTATTTTTGTACTGTTTCCTATTTACTGTATTATAATTAAGCAGTAGTTCTCAATCTGGGAGCACCCCCTCCCCCCCCGGGGGGGGGGGGAGACATGGAAGACTTACAGGATAGCATGAGCTCTCCTAGAAAAATATTGAATAAAAAAAGTACAGGCAACAAATGCATAACTTCATTTATTTTGGATTGTGGCCATGTAAAAACTTACCTCATCGAGAATAGAGCATAGATAATTTATTACAAAGAGGGGTTATACTGTTGCAATTAACTAAGATGTATGAGATTAACATGGTGGGTATGGTGATTGGGGGGGGGGGGGTAGGAAACATTCTGGATTCTAGGGAGGCATGTAAAAAAGGGTTATTTCTAATCTTGTATTATATAGATTCTGTGACCAAGTTGTTAACAAATTTCTGATCATAAATAAGAAAATACTCACTTTTGCATATACAGTATTACCGAGTCTTATTATGCTTAAAATACTTCATGAGTTGAAAATGGTGTACATTTGTATTGAAATAGTTAAATAATTATACAGCTTTTATTTTAAATTTGACCTATTTTAAAAGCATCAATGAGTTATAGAGTAATAATACTTGGGAAGACGTTCTGGAAGCTAACTTGTTTACAGTATGTTAAGTAGGCCTACTATAAAACAATTTTCTTTACAGTACTACGGTCTTCTTTACAGTACTACGGTCTTGACTATCAGTATCAAACGTTGTGTTTCGAAAGGATCCAATTTCTATTGCATTAACTTTCTGTGTAAATAAGCTAAAGAGTATTTATATGGTTTGTAAAACTCGAATTTTATGGATGGTAATTGTGGAGGTTACTGATGATTGATTCCTTTAGACTAGTACATCATAGTTAAAGTCAGTAAAAACTTATACTGTTTAACGTTAAATGTTTGATTGATTTACCTACCTATGCTACCGGTACTTATTTTGCAATTTTTTTTTTTACTTTGAGATAACTAATATTTTTGTTTATTTAACATAGACAAATTCAAATTACATAAAAACTTATGTTGCTTAAAAGTTAGTTGTCAAATCATCTTAGTTGAAGCATTGTTATTCTTTTATAGGTTTTAGGTCATAAGCTAAACAAATCATAAACAAAAAACTATAAAAGATGTTTAATTTTAGTATAAACCTGATTATGTCTCAAATGTAGGTTATCCATGTAAATGTAGCTTTTTCTTTTACATTTTTGTTACCAAAGTTAAAATGTGAGCGAAGTTTTTGAATGTCTTCTCTGGAATACATGGATCTATGTGGCTTAAGACAATCCTATACTGTCCTCTGTGAAATGTTGTCTTTCTCCGTGTCAAATGTTTATCTGAAATCACTAACTTTTTCACACATTTTCCTTTTTTTAGGATAACTATATTTTAAAAGAATTGGTGAAGTAAAATTAGTTTACGTTAATCATTTAAAAAAGTAAAACACCATTGTGGTAATTTGGTGAGCAGTTCTTTTAAGTCTAAGACTACTGCTATGGGTTTGTAGCCTTTAATCAAACTATTCTTGTTACATCTTTTTAATTTATCAGGAACATATTTCAACAAAGAAAATTAATTGTTTACCTCACAGGTAAAAATGTGATATACAAAATTACTTGAAAATAAAGAAGTTATAAACATAATTTTCTCATCGCCTAAAAGTGTTTTCTTATTATTACCATCTCAAGAAGAATAGTTATTGTTTTAATGTGTGAAAAAGCGAGCGAGTTTCCACCCTTCATATCCCGAGCAATATCTGTCTCTCTGTCGTATGTAAGATTAAATGTTGTAAGATCTCAAATCATAGAAATAATATTTTAGGTGAACACGATATTGTTAAATGTACATAGAATCTAAGTCAGTTAAATGTTATATTTTCAAGTACAATTTTGTTGTTACTTTCTTTAAATGAGTGTATTTATTTAAAATCCTTTATGTGTATATAGAATTACTTAGCTTTTTAATTACAAATTCTGTTAAATCAGATAATACTCGTAGTTGTAAATAGAAACCTTGAGCAATTTTTTGTGGGCATAGCTCAACAAAAAATGCTGAAAACTGTAGCTACCACGTTGCAGCCAGCCATAGTGTTAGGATCAAGCTTTAGATTTGCCAACATAGAATGTTTGTTGAACAGTATACAGGGTGTCCCGGAACTCTCTACCAATATTTTAGGGCATTGCTCCTGGGTAAGAAACATACCTAAATATCATATTTAAATGGTCCGGAAGTCCTTAGTTACTCACACAGCCACCATTTTGTTTTTTTTCAGTTATTAATTTTTTTCTAAAGAATGGTTTAACATACGAAATGGAAACTTTGCACAAAAATTAATGACAACTAGACAAAGCTACAAAAAAATTATGAAGATTTTTCAAATTCATAAAACAAAATGGCGGCCATTAAAATTTTTTTTCCTTAATTAACTCAAAAACCGTTGATTTTATAAAAATGTTAAATGGCCGCCATTTTGTTTTGTGAATTTGAAAAATCGTCATAATTTTTTGTAGCTTTGTCTAGTTGTCATAAATGTTTGTGCAAAGTTTCCATTTCGTATGTTTAACCATTCTTTAGAAAAAAATTAATAACTGAAAAAACAAAATGGTGGCTGTGTGAGTAACTAAGGACTTCCGGACCATTTAAATATGATATTTAGGTATGTTTCTTACCCAGGAGCAATGCCCTAAAATATTGGTAGAGAGTTCCGGGACACCCTGTATATTTCTATTGTGGTAGACGGGTGTCTGATAGAAGTCAAGCAGAGTGGAAGGCATATTTTTCCCGACCAGGAAACATCACCATAGATCGAGGATTTGATTTTTGTCTCATTCTGGTGTGTACAGCTGAGCAGCTCAATACGAGTTCATCTGTCTGTGAAAATGTATTTTAAAGGATTTTGGTACACTAAAAAATGTTGAAAAGCGGAAAACAGGTGAATTTTTATGTTGCACATTTGATCAGGTTATACCATCACCGGTGTAAATTTCCAATAATGGTTTTTTTTTTAAATAATGGATTTTGGTGATGAATACTGGAAAACATGTTGAGAAAGCACAGTTAAATCAACAAACCCTTAGGGGTTTAAATTTTTAATTGGAAATAGGGGATGAGGATTTTTTTTTCTCAGTGGGGAACAAGTCAACACTTTGGAATAAGTCAACTCAATTAGTTTCAATTTAATAACCAGTAAAAGATTCGATATTATGTTTTCTGCAAAAAAATACCTGCAACTCACTGGACCTGTAACTGTTTTATGGTAAGGGGTAAGCATTGCACCTTTAATAAATGGGCCCGGTGGGCTCACGGGTCCAGGGGAGTCAGAGGTTTTAGGTTTGTTTGGGGTACAAGGAAGAGAAAGATTTCCCACAGTGTAGGTGGAGAGTCAGCAAGAATCCCTCTGGCTGGGAGTATGTGTAGAGAAAGGGTAAGTAAAGGTGTGAAGAAAAATGTAATGGTGCTTTATTTAGCATTAAAGCTCGCCCCGTAGTCGAAAACTCAACCAACAGTATACCTGCCCATATAGGACTTATAACCTTTCTTTTGGTACAGCTTGTGTGTAAATCGGACCAGTAGTATGGTCAGGGTGGCTGTCGTAAGCTTAAAAATGTTGCTCCATGTTAAATCTCTATAAAAAAGTTTAATTTTCATTTTTGACCCAATTATTAAAAATATTTACAAAATAAAAATAAAACCTGCACATATAAGACCGATAACCTTTCTTTTGGTACAACCCGCGTGTAATTCGGTCCAGGAGTATGGTCAGGATAGCTGTCATAAGTTTTGCAAACGTTTTTTTTAATATACAGGGGGACACAAGGGAGACGGACGGTTTTCATATGCGTAGTACTGAGAGTCGAGAGTGCGGTGGTACACAAGACGCAATTTCATTAACTCAGTCACTATGAACAGTGGGGCTTGCCACGTTCATTGTTTGGCTTTGGCAGTTTTATGAGAAGTGGCGAGTCTATTACAGCTACCCAGCGATTGTTTGGTGCAAGGTGTAATGTCGGTAGACATTGAGCTGTTCCGAGCCGTAACACAATCCTCCAACACAATTTATTTTTGCATCCATCCGCGGACGATAATTTCGTCCGCGGACGGATAAAATGATTCAGATGGATGCTACGCACCTCCTTCACATTATGAGCTACGTTAAACCATAGACGGGAGTATGATTTATCTATGGTTAAACGCCCACTCATGTTTGTCGACAAATGCATTTATGTTAGTTGAAACTTGTATACACATTGTTTACTGTCCCAATGATGTTTATTTTTAAACTCAGGTGTTGTAAGTAAAAATGTGTTCGTAAAAACGAGAGGGCTTGGACGTCCGCGGACGTTTTAGAAAAATCGCCCCCGGAGCGATATCACCCTTCGTCCATGGACGAATTTCTGCATTCGTGGATGGACGCTACGTTTCAATGCGTGGTGTGAACTGTCCCATCTGATAACATGGGCAGCGATTTATTTTTGCATCCGTCCGCGGACGAAGAACTCACTCGTCCGTGGACGCCAGTGTGAAACCGCCTTCAGACGGGTGAAAAACGTTAGATTGACTGGAATCATACTGAATAAGAAACATCCTGGCTCAAAACGGTCACCAGCAAATGTTGAGAGGGAAGCGGTAGTCAAACGCCAGGGGCGGCCAGCTAGACGTCATGATAGTAAGCTACAAAAATTAATCGTGAATCGGTTAGACGAATTTTGAATCCAGTATGTTTCCAGTCAATCTAAAATGTTTCACCCATCTGAGGATTGTTTGGGTGATATATAGCAAAAACTACATGTAACGTAGAGGAATATATAAAATTTTCAACTTTAACAGTTCATATCTTAAAGACTATTTAAGTTATCGAAATGGTTTTTATCTCATTTTATAGCAAATTTAATTGTGAACAAAACATGTTATATACAAAATGGCGTAAATGTGTCCTTTTTGGTGATATTAAGCCGTTTTCAATTAATAGTTCAATTCCTCTAAAGAAAAAAAAGATGGCGTCGTATTTCAAGATGGTGGACCTAAAAATCGGGCACCCCCCCATAAATTGTTTGTATTTAGGGTATGGACGAAATGTGCAAAAGCTGCAGCTTTAATCCATCAGGTCACGATCATTTCGCTAAGCCACCACACTATAATGTGCTAAATGTTATTTATATTCTCTACGAATCCCATTGGGTGAATACCACTACCGGTATAGAAGTTTGGATAACCTAGACTCCGACTGAAGAAGAACCTTCGGGTTATAATTAATGTTAGATCAACGATGGATTACAAATGTAAGCCCTTACAATATAGAAATTATAAGCAATCTAGCAGAGGCTAAAATGTTTGAAAACAAATTACCTGTATATGAAACAATAACATGAAAATAGAACACCTCACTACCAGTTCTGAAGTGACCCATTTGTGCGCCAGATAGTTGTTTATGGGCAAAGCAAAGCGGAATGCAGAAACAAATATTGAGCCAAGAAAATGGGTCTTTAGCAGAGAATATTTCATGGCTATTAGTATTAGTGAGCAATTTTTTTCATCAACAATCAAACAATCACATAAACCTATTTGATATTATTTTGTTCTGTTTTAAGTTTTCAAAGCATGGTTTACAACTCTGTTTAAAAGTCAGCTATTTTAACAATATTTTTCTAGTAATACAAAAATAATACATTAGTGCTCTCGATGAGGTTTAGTAGCTCTCGGTAGCTTGTTGGCTATAGTGCTCGCCTTACAATTAAAAGGTTGGCGGTTCGATCCTGAGGAAAAATCGACTGGACCAAGCTGTTGCCGGTCATTGGGCTTTAAAGATTTTTTTTACAGAAGGCCAGGCTTAAAAGTGACCGTGGGATTGAATGACAGGTGGAACAGCTTATTGTGCACCCTCATTCACAGGTCCTCATTCTCCGTCAAATTCCAGGTCCCTGGTGAGTCATGAGATCCTACCCCCTCACAACAGTGCTTTCCAAATTTCTGTATACCAGCTTTGATAAAATATAGCGAGTACTAGTGTTGTCAAAAGCTCCTTCTTTATCAAGAATTGCAGCCACCCCTATTTCCTTGTTCGAGATAGCATTTTCAATCTTGCAAACAGGCACATGGAGGGCTGTTTCGCATGACTTTCCCTTCTGATAGGCGTGTTGGTTCGGTTGCAAAGGACGGCTTACAGGGACCCTATCCTTTATTTGTCCATCCACTAGTTTCTCCATGGTCTTCAGGATAAACGATGTTAGGTTTATATGTCTAAAAGCCTTATTTTGTTCTTGAATTGTTTTTTTTTTATATTGATTACCGTACATCAATATTAATTCAAAATGAATTTTAAACCATTTTTTATTTACTTCAGGAGAAAAAACTTAACATAGATTTCATACCCGACAACCTTGTTTCAGAAATTATCTGACAGCGTTACGTTTCAAATGGGGAGGGGGGCTTAGGCTTGCGTTATACAGCGTCACAGGGGGAGTCGAGGGGATAAAATGATAAAAAAAACTTACATAATATGTGGAGTGGATATCCCCATAGAAGGTGTAACCTTACAAAATATGTATTGTTTTATTTAATTTGTTTATAAAAAAAAACTTAAGGCTTTTTTATTATTAGCATGAAATACTTTGATAAAATGTGCCTTAAGTCTACGACAGAATGTTAGACAAATTGAACAGCTGTATGTTTAAATATAAGCACAAAATAGCACGAACGAAATGGAGAAAAAGAAGCATTTGTGAGACCGAGATCAGCTGTTTAGTTGTTTAGTTGTCGTTGTCGGTTGTCACCACTGTTGTCAGTTTGGTTGGTCGTTGTGTCATTTTGTTACTTTGAGGTTAATTTTTAATTACAGTAGGCCACTCTTACAGCCAATTAATTAGAAAATACTTTAACAATGAGAACTTAAGAGCTACTAAAATTTACATAACGTTAACAAAAATGTATACACTGCTTTATGGCTTATATAAATATATAGTCCAGAAGGATGAGTATTGTGTTCTTATCCTGGGACTTGACAATGCTGGAAAAACTGTAAGCAAAACACGTTATTATCAGTTTACGTTCTTAAGCATTATAGTAAATTTTAAATAATGAAGTACTTTACTAAAGATTTACTGATTAAATTTTGGGCAGAACATTAAATGGACATTGGACATTGATAGTAGGCCCTATAGCCTAGATATGTCTAAGTCACGACCAGTCAGGTTAATAGATTGTTATAGGTACTCGACCTTTATTCAGTCTTAGCAATATCAGAAGTTATTAATTAGATCTAACTCTGGCTGCACTTTAGTAACTTAGGCCTATCTGTCCTACACTCATTCGAATGAATATCTCAATTGATAAGTAGGCCTATATCGATAGGCCTATATGAAGTTTGGTAGCCTAATTTAGGTTAGACTGGGACGGTGTCGTCCTTTTAAGGTTTTATCCAGCTACTAGGAGGACATGAATTGTGGATATTTATAGCAATGCACTGTGCATACAATACTCCCTGGTGTGGATAAACGCCCCCACTAGTGAGTACTACAACTATCCGCAGTAACTAACTATCCTGATAATTAGGTGTCCTTTTTTTAGTCCTGTCAAACCTTAAGGCATGAAGCCCATCTCATAAAACAAACTGTCTAAGTGAGCATTGTCAAATTAGATAAGTTACCAAGCTTAACTTACATGATGATACAGTAGAGTCCCGCAAACTCGGCGTAATGTGGACTGGAAGGGTGCCGAGTTTGTGAAATGCCAGGTTATCGGGAACTAGGGTTAAAAATAAGAAAAGTTTAGCTTTTTAACCACTTTATTAATTTATTTTTATATTACAAGTCAGTATTAAGTCATCAGATATAGTACAACAAATCCTTAGTACCAGTTGCGAATAATTTGACTGAAGCTGACTTGAATCCAGCTTAACTCGGACTCAAAAAATCACTAGTTTTCTCAGCCAGGTGATGGCCGAGTTATCCAGACTGCCGGGTTATCGAGTGCCGAGTTTGCGGGACTCTACTGTATTGGATTTAAATGTTGAGAATGAGTTATTAGAAACACATACGCGTCCGGTAACTGGACGTGAATTAGGCGTCTGGTAGCTGTCATAACCTAATCTATCCAACCAAACTTGCTGATAGTGAAGAAATCGAATGAAGGTTAAATTCTGTTCATGAAATAAAATTATAAATGCCAAAAATTCTAACAAAAGATGTACAGTTAAGAAAAAATGGCATTCGAAGCGAAATCTTTGACTAAAAGTTAAGTTTACCGATGAGATTCGAACCAGGTACCTCTTGCATATCAGCCGAACACTCTATCCACTACACTACAAACACCGATGGTTGTACATCGTATCGTTGTGGTAATGGCGTTCCGAGCCCCCACAACCCGATGACGTCACTGCCGGACGCCTAATCCACGTCCGGTTACCGGACACGTATCCTCTGTGTATTAGAAAAGTTAGACCTAATGTATCAAGTTCATAGCATTGAAAACTTCAGAGCCTATTACTCATTAGTCTTCATGGTGAGATTTTACGTCTAATAAAACAGTCAATAGGCTACCTTTCTAACTCATGCAACATTAACAATAACCTAGGCTATTTCATTTTCATATTTTAGACTTACTTGGAGGCTGCTAAAACAAAATTTACCAAGAATTACAAGGCGATGAACCCGAGTAAAATCACTACAACTGTCGGATTGAACATTGGAAAAATCGAGGTTGCTGGAATCCGTCTCAACTTTTGGGATCTCGGGGGGCAAGAAGAGCTGCAATCCCTCTGGGATAAGGTAGGGTACCTTATAGTTGACTATGTAAGTTTGAATTATTAGGGATAACATTTAACCCATTAATCCTTAAGGATTGATTCATCAACTGTTACGAGTAATATAGCGAAGAATTTGTTTACCACCATTTGCGTGACAAGCAAATCAAATCAAAGGCATATTCTGAAAATCAGCTTTAGGCCTAATCGATTGTTATAATCGACCCTCCTTCAATCTTAACAATATTGAAAGTTATTAATTAGGCTAGATCTGATTCCATAAAATATCTAGATTATCTTCAAATAATGGGTAGGTTTAAGATTTTCAAAGTCTTAAACAATCCAATAGTCTATAATCTATACAGTCATGAAATATTATTGAATGAGTAATATCTTATAACACTTAAAGTTATTTTTAGCTTAGAAGGTAAAAAATTGATTCAATACTGTACTTTTGTTGCAATTTATCTTTGTATCAATACAAAATTTCAGAAGTTTGGTGGTACGGTATTGCAACATCGCTAGATTCAGACTGGTGTTCAACTCATGAGGAGTTCCCTCGGTGGCAGAGCCTAGTGAGAAATGTTCTCTTAAAGTAAAAACAAACTATAAGTGGAAGTTAATGCAATTGGTGGGGTCTTTGTTGATTGTACATTTGATTACACATTTTCTACTTTTGACTTAGGTTATCTTTACTGAATGTAAAAACTCTTCATAGAGACAACAATGAAGGTTTTGAGCTAATTTTGTGTTTTCTGATTCCAGTACTATGCAGAATCGCACGCTCTTATATACATCGTTGACTCTTCTGACCGAGAACGAATTCCAGAATCAAAAGAGACGTTTGGTAAGTTACACTTTAAATTTAAATGTAGGCCTGGAAAAAATAACCATTCTATTCTGAGAGAGGAACATGATAGTAAAATGTTGCAATCTTGTGAATGCAGAAAATTTACTCTTGATTTGGGCTAGGCCTATGTGTTTTTACAATATGTTGTAAGAAATTAATTTTCTCTTCAAGACATCATAGTCTGAAGACAGTTGTCTGGATAGCTGAGTGGTTATAGTGTTTGCCTTCAAATCTGAAGGTCGCTGGTTTGATTCCAAGCGAGATTGTTACCAGTCCCAGATGCCATTTTTGTAATTGGGCTATCAATTCGATGCTATCAAACAAAATAATCGACGTTAGTAACAAGACCATGGCTTGGACCGTTCCCTCTCAAAACGTTCATATAGACGCTCAAACACGTAAATAGATACAATCAAAAATAAGTCCAAGGGGTCTGAAAAGTGACTCAGGACTTGATATTAAAACATGACCTCTCATAACCTTTTTGAGCTTTCCACCACCGTAGTGGCCGAGGTCTGGGAGGCCCTGAGGTCCGATTGTCACCTGCTCACCGCAATTGTAGAAACTTATGATGTTTTTTCCATGACCGCGGTAGACAAAGATGATGTCTTCAAGAACGAAGAATATATCCTTGATTTTGGCGCAATACCGGAAAAAGATTACATTGTTTCTGTGACCGCGGGAGATGAAGATGATGTCTACAAGACCGCTGATGATGTACAAGATGTTGCCATTATCACCAGCACCGTATTTCCCTAACGGCGAACACGGCGGTTGCTAGGGGCCACAATTTTTTTTCTTGATAAATTTATTTCACCGACAATCTGTTTTGACAGAGACGTTGATGAAATCAGTGTCTAAAATATTTTGCCGTTAACATAGGAGTTATCACTATTTATTCTCGTTGGTGGTAGATAACCAGGATTTTATCGGGATCACGGAAGTCAAAGATCACCCCCGCAAATTCAGAAGATCTTCAAAATTTTGCCGCGATCGGAGGAGACGAAGATAATGTTTCATTTCAGCGCTCGCGCAGATTTTAACTAATTCCCCGCGGCCATAGGAGACATAATGATTTCACCGTGATTGGAGGAGACGAAGATGGCGTCTCAGCGCTCTTGCAAGATGTTAACTGCTTCTCCGCAATCATTCAAGACGTTAATCATATCACCGTGACAAAGGTGATGTCTCCGCGATTGCGCAAATGTTCACTGTTTTTCGCAACCACACGATACATTCATGATGACCAAGGGAGGCGATCAAAACACAGCCACAAGATTTTTTGTGATTTGGCCTTGATCATGGTTTTTGCCGAGATAAATGAATAAAACATAAGTGGTGAAGTTTTGGTAGAGGAGGTGGCGCCATCCACATGTACTGCGAGGGGGGGGGGGCACTCAACGTACTTACGCCACTGGTTAGTTAACGTAGTAAAATGTTAATTAGTTTAAAAAATGATAACAATATTAGACCTACTAACATATAGATGTTAGAAACCTGTAGAGACTTTTCAAATCAAATAGAAGTTAAATTTTTGAAACATTAGGTAATTATGCACTATTATCTTTTACTTCTGCACTGCCTAACTTATGTTGCAGACAAGATGATATCCAGCGAGAACCTGATTGGAGTTCCACTGCTAGTTCTAGCCAACAAGCAGGATATTCCGGACTGTATGGGGGTACGAGAAGTCAAACCAATCTTTAACAAGAATGCTCATCTCATTGGACGACGAGACTGCATGGTTATGCCAGTGTCTGCCCTCAATGGGTCAGTCATAGACATAGATATTTTGTTTACACAAAACGTTATTTTATAAGTATATACGATAGATTGGGAAAAATATTTCATCATTCATTACATTAATTAATACGTGACTTGACTGAAATTTTAATATAATAGTCAGTAGGGTAACAAATGTAGAGATCCAACGTTTGTCGCTCTAAGATGTTATCAATAGATCATAGCAGCAGTGTCGAAGGTTCAGATCCTGGTACCTGCCTCTACATTTTATCATTATCAACAAAGTTTAACTCTTGTACTTTACCGGCTCACCCCTTGCTTTGCTGTTTGCTGGATATGTTCCACAGGTTTCAGGCCAACCTCTTAAAAAGAGTCTTTTGCTATATTTTGATATTAGCTAGGTCCAATGCTGAAGTATTAATTGACTTAATTGAAGCCATACTAGATTAATGGGAAACAATTTTGGATTTGTACAAGAATAGGATTATGAAAAGGAACGCCTGGCAAGATTTACTAATTTTGGAACAACCCAATTTCTCCTGCCTTTGGTTTGTTGAATGCACCCATTGAAGACCCATTGTACACACTTTACGACATTTATAAAATTGCCATACCGGTAATGCCAAAAGTTGTTCACAATAGGTTCATTGCTTTTTGTAGAACTAAGAATATCTCACTGTAAGATCAGAAACTGTGTAGTGTGAAAGAAGCATGGACACAGTGCTAAATCTTCAGTTTTTTAACCACACACAAACAGCAAAAACCATATAAAGTGAAACAGTTTGGACAGTGAAACCATATGTTACAGTTAGTCCCATATGTTGTGAGGTACAGTAGACTCCCTCTTATCCGGACTCCTCGAGACTGAGGCCAGTCCAGATAACCGTTTTTCCGGTTAAACCGACGTCTCCAAAAACTCGTTAACTTCAAACAGACCGTTTACCGTTGGTATTCGACTTAAATTTAGGAGAGCATTGTGTTTAGACACGTGAAAATGTGTCCCCTGGTCTCAAATCTTTCCCACAAGAACAGTCGTTTCAGTACCGCCCGCTTCCTGCCGATCTAGTCCGATTAAACCAATGTGCTGATAAAAATTGTCCGGTTAAAGAGATGTCATTTCCGCCAAGTGTAGTCCGGTTAAACCGATGTCATTTCCGCCAAGTGTAGTCCGGTTAAACCGATGTCCTGTTAAAAGGTGTCTGGATAAGAGGGAGTCTACTGTATTCCTAAATATTTTCAGCTGTCGCTTTAAAATTAAAATAATCTATTCATACACTCATTAACAGACAGTAATCATAGAACATACCTTGATGTAACCTACTTTATGAAGGTCCTATACAACTAAATGATCTGAGAACTTAGACAAATTGGCTGATAGTAGGTTAATTTTGGTAATCTAATCTTTTATTCAGACTATTGCATAGTAGGCATGAGTTTACTGTTGAGTGTTGATATTTTACATTTAAAAACATTATAATCTTATGAAACCCCGGCTTTTCTTAGTTGAGACCGATGACTGTTTATATTTCAGTGATGGTGTAGACGAGGGTATAAGATGGTTGGTGGACTGTATCAAGCGTAACAGTGAAGTGCGGCCGCCCAAAGACCCCGACGACACGTAGTTACGAGTGGACTACTGAACGTCATTCCAACACTGTGATACTACGCAGTCATGCTTCCACAGTCCATGTACAGTATTACCAACACGATAGTTCTACAATCCATCAACGACTACTTACTGAAGTAGATGTCTTATCGGAATCCTTTGGCCGTGCCTTTTCTGGTTTATGGAAGAAAAGATTTAAACTTTTTAATGTAGAAATATAAATAATTTAATTTGTTATGTGGAAAGCAAAAGGGACCTAACCTAATTTATCACTTCTATTTTAATACTGATGAAAGATGTATGAATCTGATAGAATTTAAAGTAACCATAAAATAAATTAATTATACCTTGGAAGTATATTTGTAGCCTATTTGGTGTAAATATAAAATGTATTTATACAGTAGGGTGTTTATACAGCATACATTATGTACATAACCAGTGTCAATGATCTCGTCAACATAACATCATTTTTATTGAGCATTATGGTTGAAAATCTGGCCTAAAAACTGTAAGGCAACAAAGTTTCCATTAAAGTTTTAACTTTTAAAAGTTGTTAGCGTTATTTGAATATTATTATTCAATACTAAATTTCCTGTGTATCCTTGATCTTTCACATAAGTGTTTGTTTAATTGCTATCTTTAATTGTTTTGTCTCTATTATATTATTTAAAATGTCAATAAGAAGTATTTAATAGATATATGAAAGTATATTTTGTGTTCATTGAATTATGCCCTTATATTTTATTGATCATTCAATTTTTTTATTGTTGTGTTTCAACACAGACGAGTGAATAATTTTATTACTTATTCGTTAGTCAGTGGTTTGAACAAATTCAGTTTCATAATAAGTTGTTACAAAATTGGATAGCTTGTCTTATGTATTTGTAAAAGAAAACGCATTTGTTAATTTATATCATTCTATATTTTTTATAATAAATCGTATAATATAATCTGCTAATTTTCTTACCATTTTATTTTAACCATCCTCCGCCTTCAAAACTTTTTATTGATCTTTAGATTATTAGAGTCATTAAATGTTTAAAGTGAACCGGTTAGGCTATTGCATGCTCATCTCTCCTAATTCTAGACTAGGCTACTTGCTGCCACTTCTCTTTCAATTCTTGTTTTTCAATACCCCTTCAGGTGACCTTGTAGCCTAATTGTTCTAATTTTGTGCTCACAAAGTTGGTAGGATTGTCAATTTCAAAAACAAGCTAATGGTATAAAGTATTATCATAGACTAACCAACACAAGTAGACTTGTCATCCCATTGTAAATTTTGAAGCACGTTTTTTGTGTCTAGTTTATGTACGGTGACACTGGGCGCTAGTGTCGACAAAATTTTGTTTCTATTATTTTAGGGTTAATTTCTTGATTTGTGCTTTACTGTTTGGTTATATAACTAGGTGACAAGTTATTGTTTATGATTAAATTGTATTATTTGGTTAAACGAGGTTTTAAATTACTGTAATAACGGGAAACAAATTGTAAACAAAACACGATCTCTACATAAACCGTACAGAACTAACAATAAAATTGTCTTCAGCTGTTCCATGAGGATGAGAAATCTACTGGGGGAGTATGTTTTATCTATGGTATTATTTGTCAGTTTGCTGATACAGTACCGTTCATTTAAAAAAAATTGTTTGTCATTTAACTAGTAAAACCCCATTTTTGTAAAATTATGTGTTTTACTCTCCATGTGGCTAACTAACAACATTCAAATATTACAAACTAGCTGTACCCACCGGCTTTGCCCCGTTTAACTTTATAAGTATTAATAAAACTATTGAGCTCGTTCGCATGGCTCAATCACGCCCTGGTTGAAGTTTGTTCGCTACGCTCACTCACCTTTTGGTTGCAAACTAGCTGTTGTCATAAATTTAAAAAATAATAGTGCTGCACCCTGTTGGTAATCCTTGTAACTTTAATGCTATTGAACATCATAGAACAGAACCAACTTGTTTAATTGAAACAGCTGTTAAGATTCATTAATTCCTTTTAAACATGAAAAATCATAAGGTTAACATGGGAAACTCCAGAGACACTGGGGCGGAGCCCGAAAGCCCGATCAGAATAAAAACTACTTAGTTTTCCTATTTAATGCCCAAAGAATCGGTGTACCGAATTTCAGCCTCCTAGGTAAATGGGAAGTGGGAGAATTAGTGATGAGTGAGTGAGTCAGTGAGGGCTTTGCCTTAGATTGTTATTTAATAACAAATTTATGTCTTGATTGAATAAAACTCCAAAAAAATCGAATTGAGCAGATTGTACTCTACACTGCATACTTAAACAGTCAATGTGTATCTCAATCATCCCCTATATTAATTTTTTTTGTAAAAATACTAAATTATTGAAAATACAGATAATGATAATATCAATCAATTTAATTAATCTAATAGTTTTAGTAACAATTTTAATTCAATTTCAGCTATACAAGACTGACAAGTGATGCATTAGGTGAGAATCTAAAGCACTCACTACATAATGTGTATTTAACTGAAGGAACTTGTTATCAGTAAACAGCAATAGATAACAGGTGAAGCTCTCAAACTGGGAGTGCCTCAGATAAGACATCAGTGGCACTCAATGTGTGGCAAAAGCATGTGTAGGGTTTAGATTGTTTCGCAGAATCATAATGTGGCCGTATCTCGAATCGGAGGATTTCAGCGTGTTGCCGCCTGATCAAAACCGAAGGTGAGTCTTATTTGAATATTCCTGATCACCGAATGTGCTGAATTCTTTTCTACTTGCTGCTGGGAGAAGATATAAGAAATGTCCATACTACAAAATATTTTATTAGGGTTATCAATCAATGAAATATATAAAATCAAATGGTTGTTTGCCTGTCTGTATGTTTGTTCTTTTTATCAAACTATGCTATGAGCCTTAGGAATTGTTGTGTATTTTTGCTTGTTTCTGTTTATTTTTTGTCCTCCTGGTACCTTAATCAGGGCTCTGTTTTATACACTTCTCAAGACAGAGTGTGAATTGCATTTTTACTTATAAAAATACCCCTGCAGTAAACCTGCAGACTACAAATTTCAAATTTCCATAATTGCTTGATCATATTTTTACTCAAATAATTCCTAATGTCATGGTGGAATGGCCTCTGGATCGTCTGAATTAACTATATAGTGGTTTAAATTACCTTGTTACTATCAAAGCGATCCTTTGTAGTTAGTAGACTACAGCTGTTTCATGCTACGAATGGAGCACATCATCAGGTCAGAAGAATGTCAAGTAGTCTTCATATTCCTCGCAGTGGAGTTTGTCAAAAGTTTAATAATAAATGGAGAACAAAACACATAACACACGGAAACACGAAACATTTAATTTATGCATTTAGTTAAACATCCAATAGACAAGCTAAAGATAATTTAAAATCGGTTCTTTTCCGTTTAGGACATTTGATCTTAAAGCATGTTTAATTTGTCTTTACAGTATGGTGATTAACAAAAAAAAATTAATCCACTCTAAGAAAGAAACCTCTTTTAAGATATCTTTGTTTCTTTTAACTTTATCTCCCTGTATGGAGAAAACAAACGTTATCAGTTAAACTATTGTGCAAAATTTTTTAGATTAATTTACAAAAGACTTTTGTACAGGTATGATGGATTTACCGCCTTATTGTTGGAAATACACCACAAATTTTAACAATGACTTTGGTTTTAATGGACAAAAAGTTATGATTGTTGTTAACTGAGATTGGTCGTTTTGTCTATACAAATAACATTGTGTTCACCATAGTTACTCGCCCCTTATTGCGCTCACGTTCACTCATCCTGTTACGCGCAGAAAAAGCGTACTACTATGGTGAAAGTTTTATATTTTTGTCATAATTTTCAAGTTTAAGTTTTCGGTGGATGTATCTGTTTGGGTGATATATTGCCTGAACTATGTTTGCTGTGTCTGTAATCTGTCCCAAGTGTATGTGTGATTTGTAGCTTAAACAGACCACACATGTGGTCTAATTTAGATTAAATATGGTACCGGTATGAGATACTTCTTCAGAGGTTTTTTTGGTTTTAATTTATATGGTGATTTTCTCATAAACAAATCAGATTTTCAAATAAACTACCTGTACTCAAACGATTTTGATTAAAATTTAGTATGTTATATGTCCCTTATATACCGGTCACTCTAAACAAAATTGTACAACCCCCATTGCTTTAAAATTATGGTTCATAAGTTATATTGCAGTTTCTTGTTATTTTCCCATATAACCCATAAAATAACAATGTCTCGACTAATATTGATTGCAATCCATTATGTCATACACTTAGTCCTTTCAACTCTAAACCGAAAATGGTACAACCCTCATTGCTGTAAAAATTGCTGTTCAAAAGTTATTAATTGGAACTTTGTGATCATCCCCAATAAAACATCACAAATACTCCCAACTCTTTGCCAATCACAAGGGTTGTTGACAAGCTAATGGGAGAAAGTATTTGTCAAATTACTGGTACTTTATTTTACAGTTTCAATCAGAATGTAATACCTCCTACACACAGGAAACAAGATTGTTATAAGACACCATCAAGGAACTCCAAAATTTATTTATGAAAAAACGTAATAACAAACCATATTAACAATGTAAGATGAGAACACTACTTGCACCATTCAAGTCAATGGTTATAAGTTTCCTCTAGACAATTTATGCTAGGACCTTGGCCTAGAACTGATGATGACTCATACAGTATCTGTTTGTGACATTCATCACAATTTCCATAGAGAATCTTTCCTTTAGGAATCTTGACAATTTTACAATTTAAGTTAAAATAATAAGAATTTTACTGTTGTTTTTTTCTGTACTAATACATTTCTCGTTCATTTGACCATGATATAGACTTTCGCATATAGGCTATATATATGGAATAAGCGTTCCCAGGTCTCTTAGTAAACTCTTATAGTAAAAGTAGAGATCGCTAAATCTCTTAGTTTTAAACGTGAGGTCCCCAGGAGCGAAAAAAAAACATTTGTCCAAATTCATATATGTCCGTTAGCATCATAACTCGACTAAAATTAATTCAATTTCAATTAAATATAAATACCCCGCCACAGCCAACCCGCAGAATAAGCTAATTTCCATTTGCCTGATTTGAGCTTCTATTTGAATAACATTAGGTTTAACTTTACCCAGGTTTGCTGCTAAAGGGAGGGTAATAAAGTGTTTTTAGGGCCTTGTATTAGGAGGCTATGGATCTACGGTATGGGATCAAATTGGCTATAAAACGTGCAAACCTCTGTTTAGCATTTATTTGATCCAGATTTATTGGACTATGCGAATGGAGCAGGGCCAGTTTAAGGGGTAAGCAAAGTACGTTCTAAGCTCTCTTCAATGTTTAGTACCTGTATTATGGAAGGAAGGGACTAATAGAGGCATTGAATATGCAAATGGTATTCAATTCTAGGTTAAAATTGTATATTGCCAAATAAGAGTGTATATGGATCAGTAAGGAGTTACATGGTAATTGTATATCGAAGGTGGGAGACTCATGGAGTGAAAATTTAAAAACTTACATTTTCAAAAAAAGCACTTTATAGGCTAATTTTTTTATATTTCAAAATGTTTTTTATTTATTTTATTTTATTTACATTTAAAAATTAATAAAATGTTCATGGTAATGCAATATCTTTGGTGGTTTTTTTTTAATAGCATCTTTAATGGGAAAACACGTAATTCTGTCACGACCATAACAGACGTAAAAATGAATATTACAAATTGTTCCAGTAATGTTATTTTTATAAATATGTTTTGCTGTAAATATATTTAGTTTAAGGGTCATTTTGCAATAAACAGCTCATTAAGGCTTTGGTAAATTTAGCCTTTCTAAAAAAAATCAAAAAATTAAAAAACATTTTTTTTTAAGTTAAAATATCCTAACTAACGTTTCTGATATATGAAATACCTTAACGTTTTTATAGAGGCGTCCTTCTTGTGTGTATAAAACATTGGAATATGATGATATATCAATTTTTGAATTTTTTATGATCCAAATCATGACCGTTATGGTCAGGGACAAGTGTTACGGTCTGGAATTGGCGATTAACGACAATAACTATATTGCTTATTTAGGTTTTCATTCCACTACTATTATTCTTATAATATTCCACAAGACTTGATAAACCATAATTTGTTTTTATTTTATACTTATTATATATATATAAATCTGGTACCATTTAAGCGTTACCTTGTATATGGTAATAAAAATACGTGTCGATTTAAACATAAACAATTTATTTTTTTACATCCTAGAATTAATTGTAGCTAGGGTACTGTTATAACAAACAATTAAACTAAACTTTGCAATTTACAATGATGCTTAAATTTATTTTCACAACCATAACGCAGTACAATTGATAAAGCTATTATGGTCGTGAAAAAGCATTGATGGTCGTGATGCCCCGGTCGTGAAATCACGTATTATTTGGCTCTGTTTTAGTGGCAGACCTACACCTCAGCCCTGTCTGAGGAGGCAAAGTGGATTTCTAGTAACGTAGCATATTAAAATATCATATCAACAAAAATTAACACCATGTCTACTTCATAAAATGACTATGTACGGTCGTGGACACACCAAAATTACAAAAATCACAAACTTATCTATATTAATCTTGTACTTCAATTTTTTTTACTGCAAAACCGCCGGTACAACAAAACTATCGCACATCCCGAACCAGTCTCTAAAACCTACTGACGCTATCACCGCTAGGCTTGCCACTGTCGTGTTTCAAAGTTGCAATTTTGCCTTTATGGTCGGGACGTCAAATCGAGGGACAGACTTATTTTGTCATGGTAGTCTTTTCGCAATGAAAATAAAATTATTATATGGCCCTTTTTTGTAAAATGTATAACTATTGATGACATAAAAAATGAAATTGTATATTTCGCCATGAGTGATTACTGTGATTAGTCTAAAAACAGCGTGAAAGTTGAAAAATGTACCCTAGGGTTACGTGATGGTCGTGAATTTCGAGACTTTACAAAACTAAAAAAAATACCTAGAACTTATTTAAAACCAAATACTGTAAATGTTTGTACAGTAAAACATGTTGTCCCCGTCCCAAAAAATATTAAAACACATAATAATATATTACAAATACAGTATCTACGAAATAGGCCAGGGACATAAAACGTACGTTTCAAAATTTTTACTCTCTTATGCATACTCCCATACTTGATTTATTATTGTTCCCAAAAGACAATAACCACAATTAATAATAAACAAAATGTTATATGGCCAAACGTTTTGGTGCATTTCTTACATTAAAGCAGTTTGTTTTCTCGTATTTGTTCGTGTATCCAATCCAGAGATAATCATTACTACCACCAGTGTCCTATTTACGGTAATTGTGACCCTAAATTAACCCAATAAAAGCGGCCCCGTCATCGTGGTTAAATCGTGAACATCTCCCGTGATTGCGAAACATTATCATTACCACCTATAATAATGGCGCGATCCCTGTAAAATCACGTATATTACCCGCGATTACGGGACATATTATTATTGCTACTCCTACTCCACGATTGGGGGATTGCTGCGAAATCGCGAACGTCCCGCCACGATCACGCGGAAAATCACTTGATCGGTTGCCCGCAATCATTTGGGGCAAATAATAATAAATGTTACTAAATAAAAGTAAAATTTTTGTAAAAAAATGTTTTAGTACTAAGGGGGCAACATTGATATTTT